TGCTGAGAGTTGGATGACAATATTGATAATGCTCTCATATATGTATGGTAAGTACAGAACTCAAGTCCAGAGGTAAATAATGTATCTTAGAATAAAGACTCAAAGCAAGGGGAAACAGCCAGCTTCAGTATCTCCAACATTCAAAAATATACCTATCACCACATCATGTGTACACAAACAGAAATTTAACCTATGTAATGTAGGTGTTTTTTTGTTTTTTTTTTACTGAGATTTATGTGCTATAACCATTTCTTGGTGACCGGTGACTAGGCACCTCGTAACCTCACAATAAAACCAAGACTCCAGAAACACCAACTTGTCAGCTTATCATATTCACATTTCTGTTTGTGAATAAGTTAAACAAATAAGATTTGGCAAGCTTTAACAGTGCTGCCGGTCCTTATGCTAAGCTAAGCTAATCGCCTCCTAGTCCCGGCTCCATACTGCACTGTGCTTGAGAGTGATATTGATCTTCTTATTTAACTCTCAGCGAAAAGATGAAAAAGCATATTTGTCCAATTAATCATTTCTGTACTTATTCAGGGCAAATCCAGAGATTCTTTTGGTTGTTTATCACTGTCAGGATTTATTGAGTATGGGCTGTCTTTTCTCAGCTTTCTCCAACTCTGCACTTCCACAGTTGCACTCACTCACTTGGGAACAACCACATTTCAGTACAACCACAGCATTTGCTAATAGCTACTAAGCAACGCCAATACCAGGACTTCAAGTCAACAATAGTTTTTGTCATTTCCTTATATTTTTATGGACTAAAACCCTCTGTTCAGGAAGCCTAGTTTAGATTTTGTAGATATTTTTTAAAAAGTTTAATACAATTGAACAATGTTTATTTATTTCCTTATTTATCCAACCTCCCAAATTGTCTCTGACTTTACCATCTCCACTTGAAAAGGTAGTGACGCCCCTTCTGCTAGGATCTCTTGTTACTCCATGTCTCGTAGTACTTTGTTCACTCAGTATGCAGTAGACCAAAGGTCAGGGTGTGTGCTGTTGTCATCCAGTTTTCCACAGGAAGTGTTTACATCTGGTGTGACAGAAAGGCCATTAATGTTGGATTGTTCACATGCTTTATCCAGCAATTCTAATTGCTGTTGTACAGAAGCTGAAATGGGATATTAGTTGTTTCTTCAATTTCTACATTTACCATTGTAACTAAGACAAAGCTGCCATGTTACAGTAAATGTTGGGGGTGGGGGCCTCGCTGCCCACAATTACTTGGTGGGAGCTGTGAACTCTGTGTTCTTTCTCTGTGTTAATGACACACTTTGGGAAGCAGGGCTGATGCCACCGGGAAATCCCCAGAGCTCCCCCCTGGGTGGGAAAGTGGTAATTACTCTGGAAACACCCAGAAGCTTATTTCAAGACTGGAGCTCCAGACACCAATACCCGGAGATGTGTCGACACAGGTCTGAAGATGAGGTGGGGGACTTGAAGGGCCCCAGACACTGTTCTCGAAACCAATTTTGGAACATCTTCTCATGCGAATTATAACTGGGATTTGGAAATAGGGTGCTGAGTGCGGATGTAAGTGCAGAAGCACTTGAGAGGGAGGACAGGTTCACTATTTTTGAGCAGTGGGTGTAGCAGAAGAATTGTGCTATAAAAAATAAAACTTTACTAACTTAATTAAAATAAAGGACTGGCCATATACAGCATAAAAATGTTTTTTATCTTAAAGAATTGTGAATGTTTGACTTGTACAGTGCCTTATGGAGAACCTACAGTATATCACTAAAGGAAATCGATGTCTTCTGTAAAGTGAGTGGAGTTTGAATTAAGGCCAACATCAGGGTCAAATTAATCTCTCTAACATTGTTTATACTTTTTATGAGATGTGAGAAAATGTAGGTAAGTAGATGTTTCGCTCATCTGAACTCACACTTGACACCCTTGTGTCCTCACACATATTATTAAGCTGTGCAGGTGGGTGTCAAAGACATTTACACTCAACAAGTAGTGTATTAAAGAAAATTAGATTTTAAACAGAATCTCTAGAGGGTTTAAAAAGACATTGTCATATATATTTTTTGCCAGCTGATGCAATGATATTTTGCAGTGTTAATATATGGTTAAAAGCTCATATGTGAGGGGTCAGATCTCTGGATTGTTCTCCTTTAGTCTGTCATTTGACACAAATAAAGATATTCCATTTTTTAATCTGTGTCTGTGAAGATCACTCCATATAGACATGACCCCGCAGAAATGAGTTTGCCTTCATAATTTTCAACTGTACATAAAAAAGACATTCAAGTAAAATGTCATGAGACCTACATATGCATGTTTCGGTGCATATTAAGCAGGAAAGCTACAAAGCTACAGTCATACAAGACAAGATATGTGATCCCATATGCATGGATACTGATGTAGCTGTCAGCCTTGAACAATCCATTTGATCCTTCATTGTTTAAAGGTGTCTTCTCTCCTTCACACCCAGAAGTCGATGGGGAACTCGTCCAGCAATGGCAGCAGCGGCGGCGAAGATGATGAAAGTGTAAACTCCAGCGACAGAGAAGGTTACACCTGCACTGTGTGTTTGGATGTGTACTTCAGCCCTCACATGTGTCACCCCTGCAACCACATCTTCTGTGAGCCCTGTCTGAGGACGCTGGCTAGGAGCAACCCCACCAACACCCCCTGCCCCCTCTGCCGAACAATCATCACACATGTCCTCTTCCAGAAGGGTAGGTTAATGGGAATGAAACATTTACCCTGCAAGGCACAAGATATGAAATACGTATCATCTTTACTTACCTGTATGACTCTACTCAGCATCTTTGAATGATATGAAAGAGATAAAAACTATTTATTTTAAATATTTGCCTGTAAAATATATTTTAAAATAAAATCCTCATGCCTTGATAATAATAAATACATATAAAAGCAGAAATAATAAAAACAATAAAGACAGAATTGCATGTATACTTGCAGCTACATGTGTATTCTTTTGTTTGTTATGCTTTTGTTTGTTATGCCGATATCATCCAAGCAGCAGGAGGTCCCAGCTGCAGATGTCCCATCCGTGCAGAGTAGACCTTTAGTTCATTTTTGATCAGATGAGTCACTTAGATCTAGAAGACAAGCTCAAAAACAATCTCAACACTTTTATTAAATGCTTTCTGATGAAAAGAAGAAGCAGTACTACTTTAGGTAGAAAATCTAATATTATTAAACAGATGTTTTGGAATGTTTTAACCTGTGAAATATTTATTTCCAATATAATGTAATGAGTTATTCTTGCACCTATGTGCCATATATTGACAAATGTATTTTACCTTTTGATTACTGTAAAAGGATGACATATTCTGATCTGTGAATAACTAATAAAGCTCTGTGATTCATGGTGGCCTACTTTTAGATGTCGCTAGGACAAAGTGAGCAGTAGGAACACTGCTGTGGCCATGGTTATGAGGACTGCAGATACACTAAGGGCCCTCATTAGTGATTAGGTGACAAGGATTGTAGATTAGATTCTTCTGTTGATTACCAAAGCCAAGGTCATACTGACACAGAACAAGGAGAAGATGATGGAGTCGTAGTGATGGTGCATTTGATGCTACTTTAATCTAGCAAGAAGTGAAGGTTTGAAGAAGATATTCAGTTTTGATGATACATTAGTCTCTTTCTTTCTTACAGAGCTGAGCCAAGCAGTAAGAGCATTCTTCCCAAAGGAATACCTTTCCCGAAAACGGAGTTTTCACAAAGCAAATTGTGCAAAGTGGCCTCTACCGAGCTGCAGGAAATTCTTCCATGTCTTTGGAGGTAAGTTTTTACTTTTATTCCCCACAAATGGGGAATTCTCTCTCACTTCAGGATAAAAAACACATCTGAGAATAAAACACTCATTTGGAATTTGAAAACCTATACATGAATGCAAAATGGAGGATTGAAGGCATCAAATAAGACGTGAGATCATATGAAAAGCTGATAATTCTGCAGAAATTGGGTGAAAGGTTTTGACATTTTGCTGAAACACCAAATTCATGAATCCATATTCCCGTTGCAGAACTTGCCTGCTAGCAAATGTTAAACTAGCCAACAAACAAACTAACAAATCACAACATTTCTATATTTATTTATTCATAGAACTTTTTTTGTAATATTTCTGTAAATAACATCTACCTACATTAAGTTCTATACATTGTTTTATAGTCTTTTCTACAGAGCTGGGCATGTAAATCTGGAGGAAAATACTAAATGATCATTTATGTCATTCATTCAGTAAAACAGATAAATTTTAAGATATTTACATAAAGAAATGATCTGAATTTGCCTTAAAAACAAACGGCTGATATATATGTATTTACCAACTGCACACTCTCCTAGCGAGCCTTTTTTTGTTTCACCATGACAACCTATCGCCATCAGCATTGTAACGTCTTTGAATTCAAGCATATTGCAGAGAGTGTCATTTTAATAAAAACCATCAGATGAGTCTCAGTTGTCTCCCACACCAGGTTTCCAGAGGCAGTCCAGTCCCATTGCTGGACGCCAGTTCCCCCATGGAGGAGGCTATCGTTTGGATGCCATGGACATGGTCATCATTTACATGTACTCTGTCAACTGGGTTATTGGATTCTTCATATTCTGCTTTCTTTGCTACCTCTTCTTCCCTTCTTTTTGACAGTCACTGCAACATTGTTGGTACAACACAGAAAGCTACTGAAGGTGAAGTGAGGAATTAAAGAAGAAGCAGATGGCAGACAGAGGGAAAACTAAACTATAGGATTTAATGAGAGGACAGTGAATGAGTTTCAAGCAAGTGGGATGGGACGATCGAGGAAAAAAACAATAGTGTGCCACCCTGTTATCTATAACTAATAAGCTTCTAGATGAGTTGCTTTTTTAAACTTTCTATTTCTGCTATAAAGTTCATTAATGGTTAAAATTCTGATCAACAGCTTGGCCAACTGGACTGCTTTAGTCAGATTACATTCAACGGCATATTAATTGACAAATATTTTATATAATAAAAATTTGAATGGAAAATAAACTGTTTTATTTTTAGATATGCAAAGTGAGATTAACTATATAGTAATGCTTTAATCCCATGCCCAACAGTTATCATTCCAACAGTATAAACAAGCATTAAAGAAGTTTCCAAAGTCTGTAACTTATTACCAGGGAACTGTTCATGCTTGTGTTTTCTGATGACAAATATAATACAAATTGGTTCCACTGTTCACTCCAGTCTTCAAAATTACATTTTGATAATGCTGTCTGAATTTTATATATAATTTTAGGAATATTGTTTATCTCTAATTAAATTAAACTTTAGCTCTTTGGCAGGAGTTGAGACCATTTGTATAAAGTTTTATGAACCACTGGACTTCAGTTTACTGTCATACACCATATCCTTGCTACTAAAATATTTTTAATTGGCACTTGAATTATACTACACAGTGCCTTTCTTTCAGTAAGAAGGAATTTTATTTGGCTGTCGCTGTATTTTATAGCAAATAAAGTTTACACAGAAACATACATGCAAGCAAGTAAATGCAGCTTTAGAATAAAACTGTAACTGTGATTTCTGTTTTCAGTGATGCAGATGTGTTAGTCAAATAACATTTCAAGTTTGCAGGAAATAAAGTAATCCAGGTGTCTGTCCTCTGTGGAAAGCACAGTCTCTGGTTACTACTGGAAAGATGGTGGAAGATAGTTCTGGTGTTCATGAGAGACACAAGGCCACTGTAGAGGAGTCTGAGATGACCACAAAAAAGGACTTTCAGTTGGCAACTCATGAAGACAGTAGCATTTGAAATTGATTAACTCTTGACCAAGAATCAGCTGGCTTGTACTTACTAAGAAATCAGGGAATGGCTTACAGTGTCATCTCCTCTAAAATCAAACATGCTCACTGCAGACATAAACATATACTGCAGGTTTCCCACTTTCCTGTTCCGTGTTTGTGGCTGCATGTCTACAACACCTAGGGCCTACATACAAATATTTTTTAAAGTCTTTTGCATTCATGTTTTAATAGTAAAGCCGGTTCTGAAAGAGCACTCACCATGCACTGAAACAGACTGCTAATTTATTCAGAATAGCTACCCCACATTCCACTTTGTGGCTGTGAAAAGCAAAGAAGGGCAGAACGTCACCACTGAAAGCTGCTACTGGATGCAGCTAGATTTACATTGACAAATAGAAATGTTGATGCTACTATGCACCGTGTGTGTGCATGATAAAGCACACACAGTCATTTTTATGTTGTCTTAAGCCTACATTATATGGAGAGTATATGTTTTTGCAAATACAGTCACCCTTAGTAAGGATAAAGAGCCTTACAATACCAAGCAACATAAAATGTTGGAGCCTCCTGCTGCCGGGCCTATTTCAAAACTTTATTAGCCTATAAAACATTCTTATCATATACAATAAAGTGACACTACACTACACTGGTATCTATGAGAAGATCACTTTTAACATTGCTGTAGAGATAGGGATTTAAGACCCAATAACAGGACCTGTATAATTATGTCATAGTAGATGCTTACAATGGGGCCAGTTTAAACTGTGGTGTTGAATACTCAAGTTTAAAGTGACCCACATTAAATCTTCACTGACATATTGAATTCATTTTATTGTACATCTGCACTGGAGGCGAAACTGACCAGTAGTCTAAATTTGATACATTTCAGCTCAGGAAGGGGGTCTCGCTTGATAGGCTCTAATTAGTATTCGCGTCCTTTGGGTGCGCAGTGTTGCCAGCCACAGAGCCACGTCAGGCCTGTAGCAACTGCTCGTTTTCTGCTGCCTCTCCAAGGTTAGCGATAGGCCCGCCCGACCAGCTCCACACTCTCGAAGAAACAGACACTGGGAGCCGAATTGAGGAGTTAAGTTTTTTTGAACGTTCAGATTTCCTCCGGCACACAAGCGTAAAGTGTGAGCTGCACGCTGCGAAATTGTCAGCGGTGACACCGACAGCGCTGTTTCGTCTTTTGGGGGAGGTTGTGCACCTAAGAAGAGATCGTTATCGCTCGTTTCCGTGGTGCTTAATGGAAACGCGCAATTATAAAAAATGGTTGCATTTGGAGAATATTCGTGATTGTGTTCGTTTTCCTCCGACATCGGTGCGTCAGAGAAGCCACCTCAGCTAGCTGGACTCCGAGTTGGGTGTGAAGTCTTCACTGTGCACCGTGTGCTGCTGGAGTGAAGGTGACTTGCGCCCCGTCGCAGTCAAGGCAATGCGGAGAGGAGTTGCAGGCGCTCATCCGGTACTTTTCCTGCGCCCTGAGGCTCGTCTGGTAAAAGACTTACTCCCTCTCACACACTAGAGGAGGAACGTGAAGGATAGACCGAGCAATAACAATAGTCGAGGTTCAACCCAGCTAGTAGTTGGCGAAGGTGAATTAAACATAAACGGAGAGAATAAGGTGAACAGTAAGGTGCAGGGTGGTAAGGAAGAAAGAGGAAAAGTGCTGGAGTTTGGGGGGATAAGATAAAACCGTTCTGTATTAGGGTTGTTTTATTAGTGGGTGTGTATGCATGAGTTCTGCATCGAATGGGCGCAAAAACCGCCCCAGATCCGCAGGGAACATCTTCCAGATCGGCAAGCCTCCTTACCGAGACCCACAGAGGAGGGAGAGCACCGAAAGTACCCGCAAAGCCCAGCGCGCCGTGGCCGACTGCAGAATGGTAGGTTTGCGACACGTCAATGCCTGCATGGTGTGTCTGATGGGAGTGCTATATTATTATTCCAGCCTTTCTTTGTTGTAGGACGATCGACTATCCAGCACAAGCAGAATGCACAGGCGACAGCTGTTAATAGCTGTAAGAAAAAAAATGGCTGTAACCCGGTCTGGGATCCTAAAAATAGCGTTATGCTTTTGCATGACTTTGTCAGCAGTGAAGCCAAACAGATCATCTCGGCGTGGAGACTGGCTGTGTGATTCGCATTTGAAGTGTGTAAAGCTGCTGGTGATTTGGGCTGATTTCGAATTTGATGCAATTACAAGATCATCAGCAGAGGTGTTCGTGATCATGGCTGAGATGTCCTATGTTTTGACAGACAGGCTACTATGATACACTGGCCACGAGCTTGCTTCACTCTCTCATACTGGTGAACGCCATGAAGACCTGCTGTTATATACAGGAGTACAGCAGGATTAATAAAATATTTGTGTCCAAACCCCAAGCTCTGAGGTGATGCAAACAACCAAACTTAGCATAATGGGGCCCTCCTTAAAAACATCCAACCTTCATGCAACAATCTAACTTTGTAGACTATTTTAATGGTAATGTTTCACTTTCTGATTAATTACATTTCCCAAATTAAGGGGCTTGTGACCGCATATTTGGAAAGCAATTTAGAACTAAGCCTAGTACTTCTTTTGAAACACACCACCATGCACCTGCACCGGCAGGTTATAATACTTGTCCACAGTGTGGAGCACACGGAAGAAGAATAGGAAGGCAATTCCTGGCTGACAAATTTCCACGATGACAAGTCAATATGCAAGGTTAAGAATAAAGAACATACAGTGACCCACTGCAATGACCAGAATAGAAAGCCATTTTCAAGCAGAGGTTGCTTGTTATATTTCTGTGGTGTTTACTTGACTAGGCCATTTGGAGAATAACTTCATTTTGTGTGATTTTGTAACAGATCGTACAAGAATTCAACACACTTGTGGCTCTTTACCGTGAACTGGTCATCTCCATTGGTGAAATCACTGTCGACTGCCCTTCTTTACGGGCCGAAATACAGAAGACCCGAACTAAAGGCTGCGAAATGGCGCGAGCGGCGCATCACAGTCTCTCCTTGATATCAGGGTGAGTTGGCACAGACGCTGTCCGTGGTGCTGACAGCCACTGCCTGCAAACAGCTATTCCTGACTCTGAAAAGTGTAAGCGCACCAAATGGGGCGGGCTGCAACACTGCTGCGCCTCAGAGGCGCCGGTTCTTTACCAGAGCACATCTTTAATTTGCATACGCATCTCCACTTTGGGAAGGTGTCTACTTAAGTCCGATCCTCTACACTTCATACAAGTTATTTCAGGTGTTTTCTCCATTAGTGTGAAAATAGTGTTAAAATAGTTTGAAGGTGGGGCAACAGTTTGGGAAAAACAAAGCAAGAGATCAGCTTTTAAAAACCAGGACATCTCTAATTGCTAGTGGGATAGGCCACTTTAGCTGTTAATGCATAAAGTGGAATGGAAGTGAAACGTTTCCTAGGATAAATATCTGAGATAATAATATCAATAGTGTGGGGGCAGTGACTTTTGCATTGTTGCTTTAAATGTATTGTGCTAGTGGCTCTCAGTGTGTATTTTGTGGTTTATCTGTGTCTCTGTTATGGTCATGTGAGGAGTTGACTAACAGTGGATATGACAATGCACAGTGATTTTAAGAACCCACTTTGTTGGATTTGTCTTTCATTAAAAACAAAAGATTCCACAGTTGAGCAGTCAATGCAAAACGTTCATGTCAAACTACATTACAGGTAGTTTATTTATGATAAAAGCTTTGGATTAGAGATAAACAGAAAACAGCTCTAATAGAAGCCTGACATGTTTGTTTGTTTGGCGTGGACTCTCCAGCGAGTGCACCGTCTCCTCTACATTGGTGCCAGTGGAAGAAGGGCAAAGTGAGGCTTGGGATTTGAAGGTCCTTAGTGAGGCTAAGAGGCCAGCTGATTTGATACCCTCAAACTTACTTCAATAACAATCAGACAGACTGAAGCCAGTGGTGAGAGAGATTTGGTGGATGTCTGCAGTGCCAGCTCCTTGCCAAAGCAGGCACAACTGTAACAATAACAGCATCAGGTTTACTCTAGACCATATGCCTCCTTATTGGAAAAGTGTTTCATCTTAATATTTTTCATAAGAATGAGTTTACAATGCTTTAGGCTGTGGTCTGCTCCCATTTCATGGCTCCGTAATTAATCCACTTACTATATTTTTACAGTGGTTCAGGAGTGCACATCATTCAGTGTATGTTGCATGCATTATAAATGTCTTCATTTACTGTATGAAGACTTTGAACCATATGTGTGACAGCCTCATAGAGTTAGCCAGTAAACATGTCTACTGCACATTTCCTCTCATGTATAGGCATGAATCATACAGCAACCATAAAACTTCAAGTTCCCACTGATAACACCATCGGAAATATTGTCATAATCATCATCAGTGCATACTCTAAACATCCTTCTCTAAAAGCTCTCCAGGACATTTCAGTGTCTGTTGTCACTACCAGAGACATAGAGCTTGAATTAGACAGCACAGCTCATTCCTCTTCAATCAAATAAAGCCAGTGTGTCTGAATGGTTTGAGTGATGCGGGGCCTCTCCAGTGTGCTAGAGGAAAGCTGATAAGCAGGATGGCATTGATGACAGCTGTGCAACAGTACTGTAGAAGGCAGCACTGAAGGAGAAGCTTGCTGTTGGAAGAGGAGAATGCAACAGCATGATTTGTGTGAGGAATGTTTGTACCAGGTGCAAGTTTCACGCCTTTCGTCGCTGTCTTTTTCCCCATGTGATATCACACCCATTAAATATCACCTGCTGTAGTTTCGTCTTGTGCACTAGATTTATATGTTTGTGAAAGTACTGCTGTTCTTTTATGTCATCCAAAAGGTTTAGTTTGGTAATCTTTGCTAACTTTTTGCAAGTTTATAACCCCTTCTGACATTAGTATTTTGATATTACAGTAAGGTTTTATAGTTACTCTCCAGGCCATTGATTATATTAAAGTAATATAATAAAGCAAAACAGGCAAAATTGTCAGTATTTCATAATAAAAGCATGTTAGTAACATTGGTGGTTAGGTGTGAGTGGTGTGACAGTATAAAAGGTGTATGCTGAAAATGGAAAATCTTCCATGAACATTTCATGTCAGCTGCTGTTTTCACTATCCTACAGTATAAGTGATTATATTCTGCACTGACGCTTTGGCAACTCAAGCCACAATAACTTTTCTGGATCAGACAAGATCAAGTAATTCTTTTATGGTCTGTGGTTTAATACTTAAGAAATACTTAGGTTTATTGAATTTGACTTCTTTTTTACTTTTTATTTTGCTATTTATACTATTGCTTAGTATTTTACTTTTGTCATAGTTACTCTGACTGGGACAGTGTCTTGCCTCTTTTATGTCACTGCATGTGTTACCGGCGCCAGCCCTAGGAGAAGCTGGGCAGTAGCAAGTGGCACACAATCAACGTAGTACTGTGTTGCCTAAAAGTGGGTGTTCAACTATGGCTGTGGATATTGGCCTGTTCCTCTACTCCAGTCGCAGTGGCATCCATAGGCCGCTGTAGATCTGTGATCAGGTCATCTAGGAGGAGTAATTGGGACATGCCTTCATCCTCCAAGGACTGTAACTTCTCACTTCTCAAGTAGTCAACAATCAACTCATACAAGTCAGTGTCGCTCAGCTCTTCAATGCTTGTTACGTTGCCATCATCAATAGAGCGGACTACGACCTGTAGCTGACTTGTGCTCAGACTTGAAAGTTGTCTCTGGATCTTGACAATCAGTGTCCGCCTTGGTGCATTAGTGGCCATTATGACGTTTCAACGGTGGTAGACACTCTCGGGATGACCCACTTGGTTTAAGCCTTCCTTGAAGTGCGGGCCACCTCGAACGCTGTCTCTGCACTCTTCACCAGGCAGTTGCTCTCACTGTATCCCGGACGAGCCCCCAATTGTTACCGGCGCCAGCCCTAGGGGAAGCTGGGCAGTAGCAAGTGGCACACAATCAACGTGGTACTGTGTTGCCTAAATGTGGGTGTTCAACTATGGCTGTGGATAAGGAGAGAGGACATGTTAACCAGGCCATAGCTTGTTTAATTCTGAGCCCGTGCCTGCACTTAATCTCTCCCGTCTCCACAGTTGCGCCACAGCACCATCTATCGGTCCGGAGGTGTATAGTGTACACAAACTTCATGAAAGACAGCGATACAACAAAAAAATATAGGGGGTGTCTGTTTAAATGTAAAACTTAAAATGTAGTGTTT